CTTCACGTTTCAACAAGCATCCATTTCAAACTCATCCTTGCACAGAGTCAGCCTTTTCCAAGATTTAAATCCAGGAAATGGTACAATATGGCTGGGGTTAGCCTGCTGTGTAATGAGGTGCTGAGTCAATGGGTGTTAGGCTGCATTTCCTCCATTGTTTGCGATCCTGGGCCTGTCTGTGGTTGGAGAGCAGATAGTTCCCCTCCGTGAGGCTGGGGATACCACAGGATAAGGCTAGGCCGTACTTGTTAAAACCTGCACTCCTGTGGAAACAGTAGGTTCTAGAAGTACCTGGCACATCTGTTGAGCGGAAAACAGAATTTACATCGCAGGTTGGCAATGTTCCATCAGAACAACTTGGACGAAAGGTAGCAGAATTGAAACAATGATTCTGTTGCTGGTTCCGCCAATGCTACCAGATGTCCTGAGTGTTTAACCACCTGTAGTTTTTTGCACTTCCACTTATCAAGATCCCCTGCCCAAAACCCAGTGATCTTGGGACCGCAACTGTGCCAGATTCCAGATTTTCCATGATTGAGAATGCGGGGACTGTAATCATATCTGACTCCAAACTGTATATGCTTGTTCAACATATCCCAAAGAGCTTAGCAGAGATGATTTTGACTTTCGGTCACTGTGACTCAGATTGGTGTTGGAAGACAGGGTGGTCTAGAAATGAAGGTAGGGTGAGGGTCAGTGACTAAGAAGAAAGGATAGAACAATCAGTGGCTTGGGGTTGGGGGTGTTGACCAGTGGCCAACGCAAGCCTGAGTTTTTAATGCGCTCCTATGCCTTCTGGATTTCCAATCAGATGATTATTTTTTACCTTTTTCTGGTGGTGACCACTACTTAACCTTTGAATAAGGGGAGGGTACAGCATAAAATTGGCATTTGGCGTCTTATTAGCAGGGACAAGGACAGCAATGCTAGTCTGAGGCACAGGCCCTGGTACCTCTTGATGTCCATACTAATAAATCATGCAGATAACTCCCTGAGAATGTGTTTGCACTATTTACCATGGTGGAAACCTGCAAAATGGGCCAGTTACTAATAACTTAACTGAATGTCAAAAATGCCTGGTCTGCAGACAGCCACGTTTAGAATACTGTGCCTGTCTAGCCCATTAGATAGACAAAACAGCATGGTGCGCTGTTACTGAGAAGAACAAATTGAAGGAAATTGCAGTAATGGTGGTTGGGGGTGATTAATGTCCCCCAATTGATTGATTAATGTCCTTCTTTAAACAAGGAGACTGAAACTACGCACAGTCCTAATGTCTGAAGATGTGGTTGGGTGTTCAGAAAGGGATTCTGATAGCAAGGCACCTAGTCAACACCAAGAGTGGAAATTTGAACCTCTGCTCAATGCTCCTTTGGGCCACCTGAGTTTTCCTTGTGGGAGTTGGTGTCAATGAATGATCCTGTCCAATGCCTTGCTTTGTTTCATTGCATTAGAAACAAGTTGTTGTTGGGTTTACTGGATCACAATCGGGAAGTTTCCTTTCTCTAATCCTGAGTGTGACTGCACAAACGTTACCACCAATCCCAGAGATGACAAGCTTGTCTTATGAGGAGAGATTGAGCAATTCAGGCCTGTGCTTACTGAAGAATGAGAGCAGATCTAATTGATCTAAGATGCTAAAGGGGTTGATGAAGTAGACGCAGAAAGGATATTTCCTCATGTGGGGCAATCTAGAATGAGAGGCCATAGTTTTAGGGTAAGGGGTAGCAGATTTAAAACAGAGATGAAGAGGAATTACTTTTCTCAAAGGGTTGTGAATCTGTGGAATTCACTATCCCAGAGTGCAGTGGATGCCATGACATTGAGTAAATTAAATGTAGAGATAGACAGATTTTTAATTAGTAATGGGGAGCAGGTAGGAAAATGGTATTGAGGCGGAGAATGAATCAGCCATGATTGTACTAAATGGTGGAGCAGGCTCAGGGGGCTGAATTGCCTACTCCTGCTCCTAGCTCTTGTGTTCTTACAGAAACATAGAAAATAAGATCAGGACTAGGCCTTCGAGCCTGCTCCGCCATTTGATAAGAACATGGTTGATCATCCAGCTCAGTCCCCTTTTCCTGCTTTCCCGCCATACCCTTTGAACATTTTAATTCTAAGAACTACATCTAACACCTACTTCAAACATTTAATGACTTGGCCCCAACCCCTTTCTGTGACAAAGAATTCTACAGGCTCCCCACTCTCTGGATGAAGGAATTTCTCAGTCCTAAATAGCCTACCCTGTATCCTCAGACTGGGAGCCCTGGTTCCAGACTTCTTGATCATTGGGAACATCCTTCTTGCGTATACCATGTATAGTCCTGTGAGGAATTTTATAAGTTTCTATGAGCTCGCCCTTATTCTTCTAAAGTCCAGTGAATATAATTCTCAACAGATCCAGTCTCTCTTCATGTATCAGCCCTGCTAATCCAGAAATCAGTCTGGTATGCTCTTATCAACCATTGCTGCAGACAGGGTTTGATGCAAGGGTTTGATGTTCACAATCTAACCTGGGACTTATCCCGCAGTGTGTCTAACTCAGCTCCTCAAGCTGAACTAGTGGGAGCTATCGCCTCCTGGGAGCTTGATCATAGTGGCGCCTCACGCTATTTCTAAATAGTTAGATCTGAAGCTTTCAAATTGGAAACACTTTAATCCATTAATGTTTGGAACTGTCACCAGCTCTTCCTAAGAGAGTCAGCGATGCAGTGTGGTTCAGTCGAGGGAGCAATATCAGTTGGAGATTGACCTCTCCAGAAACAAAAACAGAAACTGGTAAAACTCTGCAGATCTGGCAGTTCTTTCAGCTTTTTATTGTTGACATCTGCAGAATCTGGTTTGCGCATGACAATGAGTGAATAATTCCCCTCAATGAGAACTAGTAATTGTAGAAATTTACGGCAAAAGTTCCAGTGAAACCTCCGCAGTAAATGTTGAATTTGAATTAGCTTTGAACTCTCCCATCATCAGTTTGGAAATTGCAACAAGGAATGAAACTCAACATTAAACTGCATCTAACGGCACTACTTCATTCAGGCTGGGTGATTCTCAGGGGATACAGCACTTACAGGCACAGTTGTGGCCTGTCTATCATTTCCAAATCACAGAGCTCAGATTTGCCAACCTTTTTTGCAGCAACCAAGAACCAAAACCTGTGTTCAACTTGGCTGCTCAATGCTGCCACCCAGTAACCCTAACTTACCACTCTAAACAAAACCAACAGTCAACCAGGAAAGGGGAGGCCTGGAGGGTTATGTCATGGTTACCCTGCTGCTACCAAAACTACAAGAAATAATCAAAATTTTCTGAAGAAGGGTCTAGACCCGAAACGTCAGCTTTCCTGCTCCTCTGATGCTGCTTGGCCTGCTGTGTTTATCCAGCTCGACACCTTGTTATCTAAGAAATAATCAAAGATGGCAGCGGAGTACGACACTCCAGCTGGAGCTGTCAAATCCGTCTGTACCTTTTCATTTGTTTCTCTTTTTCTCCCCCTTCTTTGTTTTTTTTTTCTCTGCCTTTTCCCTCTTCTGCCAGGGGCCCGGAGCGGAATGGGGACAGGGGCCCGGAGTGGAGTGGGGAACAGGGGCCCGGAGCGGAGTGGGGAAAGGGGCCCGGAGTGGAGTGGGGACAGGGGCCCGGAGCGGAGTGGGGAAAGGGGCCCGGAGTGGAGTGGGGACAGGGGCCCGGAGCGGAGTGGGGA